TTTTTTTTTTTTTTTTTTTTTTTTTTTTTTTTTTTTCCGTGTCCGGCAACGGATCGCAACCCTCAGTGTTGCCCCCGTACCGGACCGGGGACCGGCAACGGGATCGCAAGCCTCGGTGTTGCTCCCGCGCCTCGCTCAGCCAGTGAGCGGGAGCCGGTCTGTATATGGGATCCGAACCCTCGGACGGGAGCGCTGCCGCGCTTCCCAAGCGGCGCACTATCCAGTGCGCCACCGGGCCGGCCCCAACGAGAACACTATTGAACATAGACTATTGCAGCTGGTCTGCAGCTGATAGCACTCAGTGCCAGTTCTTTGGAAGGTGCCTCACTTAAGTGCATCAGTTAGCTCTTGCGAAGTGAAAAATATACCCAAAACTTAGTAGCTTAAAACAATACGTGTTCTTTCTTATGATCCTGTGGGTTGCCTTAGTGGTTCTCATGGTCTGGGCCAGCTCAGCTGAGGCCAGATGATATAGGATGGACTCATGTATTTACATCCTCAACTAGGTGTGCTGGCACCTCTCCATGTGTCTCTCATCACCCAAGAGGCTAGCTCAGGCTACAACATGGTAGGTGAGGGGTCCCCAAGAGCCAGACAGGGCATGCCCCAACATTCAACTGCTTTCTAGTTTCCACTTATATCACACTTGTTAATGTCCCACTGGCCTAAGCAAGTTACATTGCAGAGGATTCATAAAGCAAATGTATTTCACATGGCTTGGTTTTCCAAAGCCTTGCAGTTTCAAATATTGACCTTGCAATGGACAATAAATTTTCCTCAACCTATAAAGTCTCTGGTGTAAGATAAAGATTTGTAACACAGGAAGGTTGCTGGCTCAAAGACAGACTAGTTACTGATTGTTATGTATAGAAACTGGGAAGCTGCTCAAGAGAGAAGGAATGTTTGCTAAGATCAAGTTTTTGTTAATGGATTCCTTAATTGCCTTACTGGAATGTCACCTGGCTTGTTTCACTGAAAATTACCAGCCTATATTGTTAAACTATAACCCCACCTATGTCTCTTCCTGTAACTTCCTGGGCTGGAGAATAAATGCAGGAAGAGAACCCCAATTTGGGGTTAATTTCCCAAGGAAGGGATGCCTCTCACTTGAGGGTTCTGGGGAAGTTAACCACTTCGGGGCTTCTCACTGCTCAGAAGAGATGGGCTTTGAATAATCCTTTGTGGCTCCATCACCCAGGGGAAGTGGGGTGACAAATCCGTGGGGGGCAAAGCAACGTTACATGGCCAAGCCCAGTTTTGAGGGGGGAAGAAACTGACTCCTCCTCTGAGAAGAGCTGACCCAGAAGCTTCATGAGACAGCTGATAGAGTCCATGACAAACAAGGTTAAGAATCCGCTTCATTAAAGGGAGTTCCCCTGAAGGTGGAGACACCAATTAGAAGTCTCTTGCTTACAACTATTATGGGTCAATTAAAAATGAAAAAAAAAAAAAAAAAAGAAAAGAAAAGAAGGTTCTTACAGTAAGCAGGGTAGGAAATGAAGAGGACTTGACCTAGAGCTGCCCTATAGGGTAGATGGATAGGGGCTGGTCTGGGAGCTGGTAGGGATAGAGATGAAATTGGACCTGGTGACCAGGGAGACAAACTTAAGAGTCATCTACACTGCAATGACTCTTCAACCCTTCCCACGTGGCTCCACTGATAATGTCACCAGTATCCCACATTTTGCCAAATCCTGTGGTGACTGTGTCCTCAGCCAACTAGTCCTCCTGACAGCATTTAGCTCTGCCAACCACTCCTTCCCTCCTGAAGCACTTTCTTCTCTTGGCCTCCAGGACATCACACCCTCCTGGTTTTTCTACTACCTCACTGGTCAGATCTTCCCGGTCTCCTTTCCTGGGTCTTCTTCTTTCTGACTTTAACAGTTGGGGTTCAAGGCTCAGTCCTGGGGTTCTCTCTATACCCTCTCCCTGGTGATCTCATTAACTTTAGTTTCAAATTTCATCTTTCTATTCCCAAATTTGTATCTCTGGCTCAGACTCCTCCTTTGAGAGACTGATGTAACATAGTGTGTAAGATATCAGATGTGGAGCCAAACCATCTGGGCTTAAAATCTGACTCTACTACTTACTAGCTGTGTGAGCTGGGGCAAGTTACTTAACATCTCTGTCTCAGTCTTCTCATCTGTGAAATGGGTATAATGACAGAATCCTCTCCCACTGGATTGCTGCAAAGGTAAGGGCTTTAATATGTGCTTAGAACTATGCCTGGCACAGAACAAGAGGTACATATTATCATTATTGTTATAATTACTGGACATTTCACTGGATGTCTCATAGGTCTTCAGTATTCAGCAGGCTGCTAGACATGAGTCTGGGGCTCACCAGAAGGCCTGGACTGGAGACACCCAACTGAGCACTCTTGGCACAGAGATGATGGAGGAAATGTCAGGGGAAGGTGCTAGAATAAGCGTGTAGGGTGAGAAATGACTTGCAAAAATAGTTAGAAGAAGTGGAAATAGGCAAGGACCTTCAGAAGGCCTACAAAGGAAGGCTCGGAAAGCCTCAGGGCAGCCTCCTGAGGCCAAGGGGATGGAGAGCATCAACCATGAGGAAAGAATCGACCATGGGCTCAATGGACAACTAAGTGTCACTGGACTTAGCAGCTGATGTGGGTGGACAGGTTGTTGTGAACTGCCAAGTGGAGGGATGAGAAGTGGTCACCACTCTGAACCTGGGATACCTGATCTTCTTGAGGCTGGATTGTCTTTCAACTCTGGCATTCACCTTTGGACTCACCATTAGAGATGTGGATCACTCATGTTGTTCCTGAAGAAGCCTCTCTGGTCCAGCCTGATGGATCATTACCCCCTCCTGCCTTGTAACACAGCACATGGTGTGTGCCTGTGCTATTGAACACAATGTAGTGTGATGATTAACAGATGTCTGGTGCCTGTACTGAACCATGAGCTCCCTGAAAGCAGGGGCCATGTTGTCACCATCGCCATAACCAAAATCACCATCAGCATCCTCACCATCAGCATTATCATCATATAATCATTACCATCCTCACCGTCATCACAGTCACCACCACCATAAGCATCACTGTCACCACCAAAACCATCATCACCACCATCACTGTCATCACCGTCACCCTCACTGTCACCACAGTCACCACCACCATCACCATCATTACCACCAACACCATTATCATCACCATCATCACCTCTACCATCATCCTAACTAGTTTTACAGGACACACGCCATGTTCCAGGCACGGAGCTAAGTGCTCTACCTGTACTATCTCCTTTTTCCTCATGCAAAGCCCTGAAGGGAAGCACTATCGTTATGTCTCTGTTTACAGATAAAGAAACTTCATGATCCTTGTACTCTGGCACTTTACACAGTTCTTGGGATTTTTATCAAGCTCAAAGGAATCTGAGCCAGAAATATAAAGCATTTCTCCTCACAACACTGTGTGCACAATAGCTGTTTATTGAATGAAGGAGAGAATGCGAGACTGGTTCTCTTTGCTTTGAACAAGCGTGCATCCTTTTGGAAGAAAATTCCATCTTAAGTGGCTGCATTGCATATACGGGACTAACAAGACCTGCCCCTGGACTTCCGAGGGATTTTCTAACAGTTACAATACTTTCATCCAATGATATTTGCAAGGCTCTTTAGTGCTTTCATTACATTATCTCACTGGAGCATGAGAGGCAGGTGGGAGAGGTATTCTTCTTTTATTGAAAAATACCAGGTTCCAAGTGTGTTGGCCAGCACAAAATCTCACAGCAGAACTCAGATTCAATGGTGTTTCCATTTCTAATATTTTACATATGGCCATAGCCACAGAAAAAGCTGTTAGAATAACAGGATGTTTAAAATGAGACTGTTTCAGGCTCAGGTTCAACAGAGACCATTAAAGTGTGAGAGCAATGTGTGAGGTGCTGAGGATCCCTGTATCCTAAAGCAGGACGCTAGACCACCTGTGCAGGACAAGGGAAGAGACTGAGATGGGTTTGGCTCTCAGCTGTATGAGCAGAAGGCAGAAGAGGCTGGCAGAAGACTGCTTAGGAGGCACCCCTCATCCCCACCCCCAACCACAACATGGGAGAGAGGAGATGTTTCCCTTAAGCAACTGAAGCCTCCTCCACCCTTCAGCCAAATGAGGGAAGAGGCTTCAGGAATCCTGGTGTTTCTTGGAACTTGGTGGATACAGAGAATTTGTCTGACTCACATACGAGAAATCTAAAGTTAAGAGGATGGTTGGAGCTAGAAGAGATAAGGGAATTGGCTACACTGGGAGTGAACAGGACAAAGGTGCCTGTTTCCCAGTGCCCAGATGTGGGCCCCAAGGAAAGGAAGTGGCTCAAGATCATCTTCAAAGGGTTGCTGCCCTTCCTGTTAGAAGTCAGGATAGTGGTTGCTCTTGAAAATGAGAGTGGGCGTAGGGATGCTCTGGACATCCACCAGGCCAGAGGGTACCAGATCTCAATCGCAGGTAAGACTTTCCTACTCTCTCACCCTTCCTCCCCAGACCCACAGGAGCCCTGGAAGGAAATGAACTTGCGTAACATCTGGGGAAGGAGGTGGATCCAGATAGAGAGGAGACCTGATGTCCTCATCCCCTATTGCCACTACAGATTTCTCAGCCTGGGTTTAAAAGAAACTTTAAGTGCATAATAGTTTGGAATTTTAATATTACTCTGGAATGGACTGAGTTGCATGGTTATTAGGCTGGGTGGATTATCTAGACCCACCTAAGATATCACCCAAAGGGTGAGAAAAAACAAAACCCCAGAGAAGATTTGGAAGAGCAGTGGGAGAAAAATTAAGGTCCAGTTTGTTCTATAAAATTCAACATAATGTAATAATAAAAAAAAAAATCAGTCATGTGATTAAGACTTATCTCAGAAACACTTACTTCTGGAACAGAAGGACCTGGAGGCAAGGGGTGTCTTGAAAGATGTGTGTGTGGACAGCAGTGAGTGCTGGCGAGTCTTGACAATCCAGCTGCTGCAGGTTGGGGGTCATCTTGAAAATGTCCCCTTCCAGGATCCTCAGCCTGGGCATCTTCCTCAGGTAGAGAGACGTGAGCTTTGGCAGGTCTCTAATCCACCCGGACTCAACTGCAACACAGAAGGGAAACTGCCCACTCCCCAGGAAACAATAGATGCAGGAGGTCAACACAGCATTAAGGAACAACAAGAGTGACAAGGTCCTTGTCACCACGAAGAAGGTCCTTGCTGAGCATGGGCACAGTTAGCAGCTTTGGGGACCTAGAGGCATGGGCCATTTCAGCTCGAAAGGCACTCAGTGATAACCAGTCCTTCCTTTCTCCCAGTCCCAGTCTGCCAAGGCCAGAGAGGAGAATGACTGGCCCAAGTCCACACAGCTCCGAAGGGACAGAGATAGGACTCGAACCCAGGACACTCTCTCCAAGTCCACTACTGCCCCGTCTTTTTGTTAAACTCTGCACAAAATAACCAGACTTCAGTCTGATGGCTGCCCGGAGTGGGGAACTTCTGAGGCGCCTAAGTGAGGAGGAGCCAGGCTGGAGGGGCCGAGGAGCTAACCCGCGGCTGTCCTGCGGAGGACGTGTGCCTTCCCGTCCGCACCTCCCGTTCTTGCTCTTTTTTCTCTTTATGGTAGAACAAGTGGTTATAGACACATGAAGTGGTTCTTTAAAATAATAAAACCAACCTTGTGAACCAAAGTCAGAACACGAAGTACAGGAGAACCATTATCCTCAGCTCCATCCCGTGTCTTGTTTGAATGATTCAACGTTCACAGAAACAATTTTAGCCAATCGAGTAGAAAAATCAATACAGTCATCCTCGGAGCACCAATTCCTTCACGTTAAATGCCTGTTTGGTGCTAAGTTCATCCGTTAACCAGCCCCAAGGCGATGCATTCCCTTCTCCGTTGTACAAGCGTCTATCCAGCTATGCTGGGAAGCAGCGGAACAGACTAGCTAGAGTTTGGGGCTCTGAGTGTCGGAGTTCGGATATGGAGGCACCAAGCGCTTAATGGGGCTGTGAGACCGCGGGCAGGTCATTCTCCTATCCGTGCCTTGGTTCTCTCTTCCCACCTCTTAGGGCGCAGGGAGTTAACCCCAGTGTGGCGCTCGCGACAGGGCCCGCCGCTCGCGTGGGGAATGGAGCTGGCGCGGCCTTTGAGCCCTGCTGTGCGCCAGGCATCTGGTCTGCCCTAGACGACCACAGCCCTGCCCCGGGAGCGCAAGCCCAGCGCAGCTCTGCGTTCAAGGGGCTGCCACCCCGGGGCGCCCGGACTCACCCCGCTCCAGGAACGTGCCGCTGAGATCCAGGACCTCGAGCGCGGCCAGGGGCGCGCCGCCCGCTCCTGCGAACGCCGCCTCGGCGATGCCCCCCTGGCCGCCGCGGCCCAGCTCGGTGGAGGAGAGATTGAGGACCTGCAGCGCGGGGAAGCAGGCGAAGGCCCGGGGCTGCAGCGCCCGCAGCGGGTTCCCGGCCAGCGCCAGCGCGCGGAGGCTGCGCAGCGCGGTCCCGGCGCACGGCGGCAGGGCGGCCAGCCGGTTGTCGCTGAGGTCCAGCGTGTGCAGCGCGGCCGGCCCGCCCGGGCCCCAGCGCAGCGCGGCGATGCGGTTGTGGCGCAGCGTCAGCACCTGCAGCTGCGGCAGGTGGCCGAGCTCCGGCGCGCTCAGGGCGCTCAGCAGGTTGTGGCTGCCGTCGAGGCTGCTCAGCGTGCGTGGCAGGCAGCTGGGCAGGCGCTCCAGGCTGCGGTTCGTCAAGGTCAAGGCCGTGGCCCCCGCCGTCGGGAGCCCCTCGCAGGGCGAGCCGGTGGCGTTGCTGCCACCGCTCCCCCAGGAGCTCTGCTGAGTGAGCCATAAGAGCGGGACCCTCTCCTGGGGAGGCCCTGCCCGGCTCGGGCGCAGCACTGTCGGCGGCAGCAGTAGCAGCAGCAGCAGCGCCCGCCACATGGCGCGTGGCTAGGGACAGAACAGCGGGACAGCGCATTAAACCCAGTGGAAACCCCAAACGAAGGGGCGAGTGTGCGTCTCCACGTCCCCTACTCCTTCCCACGCCTGAGGACGAGCACAGGCCCTGGATGTTCCTTGAAGGGCAGGGGGACGTTCCCAGCGTCACCGGGTGTGCAGTGACTTTGCTCCTGCCTGCTTTCCCCTCATAATCTCCCCACGCACACTGTGGCAGCTCCTGCCCTTCCTTCTCTCAGAGACGCCTTTCCCTCTTCTTGAGGGAGGCCTCCCTCATTTGTCCAGTGTGGGCCTGATTCATCCACCTTGGATGGGAGAATCGTCCCCTCTACTTGTCCCCATCCCGTGAGCTTGTGCAGGGATGGGACGTCCTGTTTATGCTCCAAACTATCCCAAGGTGAATAGTGGAAGCTCCGTAAACGTGAATGCCCTCAGTTGGGAAGAAGCTCTGCTGGGATAGAAATATGGGACACGGAGAGGATTTTGCCAGTTCTAGCCACATTCAGTTGCCCCAATCCTTTCCGTTAAAACTGCCTAGACACAGGTAATTCCTAGTTTGCGTAAAGTAGGTCCTGGGGTCCTTTCTTGGTAGGGCACTTAGAGTTGCCTTGGGGAGAAGAAAAGAGCCTCCCAGGCAGCTGTGAGTCTTGAGAAGCTGGAGTCAAGCATTACCTGGTCCCATGTGGGTTCCAACAAAATCCAGGATGCCCAGTGTCAGCCCTGCCCTGAGGGAAGGCTGAGAACTGTTGGGTGTAGAGTTTCTGGAGAACCCAGAATTCCACAGGGCAGGTGGAGATCAGGTAGGGGTAGATGCATGGCTGCCTGAGTGGCTTCTTCCAACCAGGCCCTCGCCTTGAGGTCACTTTTTTTTTTTTTTCCTTTTTGTCTTTTTTTTTTTCGTGTCCGGCAATGGATCGCAACCCTCAGTGTCGCGCCCGTACCGGACCGGGACCGGCAACGGGATTGCACCCCTCGGTGTTGCTCCCCCCCCTCCCTCAGCCAGTGAGCGGGAACCGGTCTGTATGTGGGATCCGAACCCTCGGCGGGAGCGCCACCGCGCTCGCAAGCGGCGCACTGCAGCAGTGTGCCACCCGGCCGGCCCTTGAGGTCACTTTTTTTTTTTTTTCGTGTCCGGCAATGGATCGCAACCCTCAGTGTCGCGCCCGTACCGGACCGGGACCGGCAACGGGATTGCACCCCTCGGTGTTGCTCCCCCCCCTCCCTCAGCCAGTGAGCGGGAACCGGTCTGTATGTGGGATCCGAACCCTCGGCGGGAGCGCCACCGCGCTCGCAAGCGGCGCACTGTAGCAGTGTGCCACCAGGCCGGCCCTTGAGGTCACTTTTTGATATCGCCCTATTGCTGCAGATGTGTATTCCTGCCTGGCTCTGCGCTGACCACTAGATCTCCCAGCAACCACCCAGGCTCTGGGGAAAGAGCTTCCCTCTTCCTAGTTGGGGGTCGGGGTAATGAGAAAGATCCCGGAAATTGAGATCAGGCATCCATGCATCCGGCAGCATGTCATACTCACCCAGAAGCTGTCCTCTTGGAGTGTGGCACTCCTGGATGCCCCTTAGCAGTTCTCAGCCTTATTTTGTAGATTCCAGGAACCAGTGACCTCGATGGCAACCCAGCTCTGAACTCCAGAGGAAGGCCTGTTTCCCAGCAGCCCTTCCCCTCGCCCCCTTGCACTGAGAGGGCCTGGGATACTCCAGCCCTGCCGCCCCTCCTTCCTGCCAAAACATTGTTGTCTTTAGCCAACGCCTTCTTTCCTGTCTCTCTCCTCCCCCTCTGGGGCCTGGGCCTGCCCCTTTCCAGGCCTGGCGCCTCCTCCCGTCTGTCTGTCCTCATCTCTACCTCTCCTCACCCTGCCTTTCCCAGCATGAGAAATGAGGGGAGTCAGTAGTGAGGGTTAATGGGGAGCAGGGAGGCGGAGGCGGCTGTCACTTTTCAGGAATCTGAGCCTCCCTCTGGGCGGTTCCCATTTCCTGGGATGGTTGGAGGCTGACTGGGGAGCCAGGAAGAGGAGGAAGCCCCTTCCTCAAAGGAGGGAAGGTAGCCCTGTCTATAAGGTTTGCAGAGATGTACAGGAGGAAGCAGCAGGAGAGGCGATCCTCAGAGGAGTCTGTGAGCTGAATCAGACTCAAATCAGACCCAGGAATGCCCAAGAAGAGTGTGTTTAGTTGCTCTGGGTTCAGTGGCACTGTGGGTGTCTGTCTCTCACAAGGAGTGGAATAAAGAGGGCAGACATTCAGAAAGAACACTCCCGCCCCTTGGCTGGGGTGACTGATCCTGATTACTGAGAGCCCCATGTCTTCTGAAGTGCCATGATTCTGAATGAGCCTTGTTTACACGTTGTTTAGAGCAGACAGAACGTTTCTCCTGGAGTTCTAAGAGCAGAGCTGGGTCATTTCATCTGAGGGCCTTTGATCTGCACTCCCACGCCCCCCACTTTGCCCAGCCCCACTGGAAGGTCTGAGAGCCAGCCAGGGTAATTGTCCCCAGCTTGTGTGCACATCACCAGGAGACCAGAACTTTGCATATCTTTCCTCTGTCAGTCCTTATCCGGGCAGCCCTGAGGAACCCCAGGACACCTTGAAAACTGGCCTGCTGGATTAATTGGATAATTGGAAGTCCCTGGGGGTCTCCTTTGAAGACTTCTCCACCCAAAGCCTTAAAAATATCCTTTCAGTCTAAGTACCAGCTGGGGGCCTTGCTGCTCGGAAGCGTTCCTTCCTCTGCTCGAGCTGGGGCGGGGAGAGGCCCGCTCTGGGCTCCCCCATCTGGGGCCAATTCTGTCACCACCCAGGGAACCTGGGCCCAGGCCCCAGAGATAGAAACATGGTGCCATGGACAACACAGGAGGCCCCGTGGGAGGGAGAAGTCAAGGGAAAGGTGGGAAGGTGAGAGGTGGGGGTGTTGGCTCAGAGGGACCAGCGTGTGGGCCGGTGGGCAGCCTCAGGTGAGCGCTTAGCTCTGTCTTTGCACAGAGGGCTCCATGCCCAAGAATTAAAACATCAGGTTTCCCTGGGAGATAAAACAGCCAGGTCTACCCTAATGAGGATATTGACTACTCTGAGGCAAGCAGGGGCTTGGGGGAGTCCAGGCAGGAGTCCAGGCAGGACTGCCTAGACGAGAGGGAGCGGACTCCACTCCCGCAGAGACCCTGAGGAGGAAGGAGTTTGGTCCACCACGGAGACCCATAAGATAGGGCCTCAGAGAGTGATGTTGGGGTACCCCTCTGCACACCAGTGAGGTGAGGGCTTGGGAGAGGCCCTGGCTGAGGAACCCTCCCAAGGGCATTACCCTGTGCCCACCTGGAGCCCCAGGCCCTCTGAGCCAACTTCTTGTCACTGCTGCTTGCTGGCTGGTTTGCCGGTGGTGGTGTGGGCCTGACCTGGATGGGCTGTACTGATGTCTGAGCTTGGCCCTCTGGATTGCTCTGTTGCTCAGGTTACACCCAACCCCAGCAGACACATCCTTGGTGGGCTACCCAGGTGGGTATCTGAGCTGGGGAGACTGAGCTGCTGGCAGACCCTGTGTGGCAGGCTTTGCTTATTGGTCTCACCCAGGTGGTGGGTTGGCCTTGCCCCAATGTGTAGTATGCTCTGCTTGCCACCGCCACCCTTTTTTAATTTGAGCCCTTACTGAGCCTAACGCCATATGCATTATCTTACTGAGTCCTCTCCAGGTACTACTATTCCCATGATTGGGAAACCAAGGCTCACGCAGATGGACTATATTCTGGAGCACACAACTAGTGAGCTGTCTGCCTTGACCACTGTGTTAAATGGCCTTCTACAGACCTCATACATTAGTTTGTTTCTCTTGCTTGTAACACAATACCTGTAACTGGGTGATTTATAAAGAAAAACGAAATTTATTGCTTATAGTATCTGAGGCTGGGAAGTCCATCTGGTGGTGGTGACAGTGACCCAGGGGTCTCACGTTGCAAGATGGTAGAGGCAGATAGAGCAGAGAGACAGACTCTCCTCTGTCTTCTTTTAAAGCCCTCAGAACCACACCCCTAACCACCATGTTTAATCCATTCACTGCTGCACGGTCCTACAATCCAATCACCTCTTCAAAGTTCCACCTTTAATTACCATAATAGGATTTCCCACCCTTCCAACAGACACAGTGGGAGCCAAGTTTCTAATACATAAAATTTGGGGGACACAATTTAAGCTTCAGTGAGTTTTGCGGGGACATAATTCAATCCACTAACCCCTACATTTGATGCTGTAATATCACCCTCAAGCACAAGAGAACCTTTTCTAAATATTTAGATAGACCCAAATCATGTGAGAAGCCAGAGTGGCTGGGAAATTTCATTTTGTAATTGAGCTGTTCATCCTTGGAATACACAGAGCTGACTTCTTGGATCACTGTGGGCCCAGGACTGAGGTGGACACCAGTGCAGGGCCTGCCTGGCACCTCTCAGGGGGCCCCAGCCCTCTTCTCCAGCCCCATCTCTTCTTCCAGCACTTCTTAGAGGTCAGGAAAAGATGACCGAAGTGTTTTTCCCCTCCAGGGAAGGATGCTAAAGTCCCGTGAAAAAGTCTTGGGACCAACAAATGTGTGTCCTCCAAAATGCCACACCAAGTGCTACACCACTCCAAGTGCCTTGCCGCCTCCTGCCCTCTGTGGCTTTACCTGAGCTGTCCGCTGCCTGGATGCTCCTCTCCTTGGTCCCCTTAGCCTCCATTGTAGCTTGCTCCTCTACACCTGGTGTGGCTTCCCTCAAAAGGAGGCCCTGAGATAAGGACTTGGGTGCAGGTAGTTTATTTGGGAGGCGATCCCAAGAAGCACGAGAAGGGGTAAGGAAGTGAGACAGGGAAGTGGATGCACTGCAGGGACGGACGGTGAGTTAATGAGCAGGTAACTGCCAGGGGCTGCTGGGGCTCCATCCTGCTGGGGATCCTCTGTGAGACTGTGCAGAGCACACCTTGGATTGTTCTGGTGAGGAAGTGGGGCTATTTATCCA